GTTTCTTTCGCTAATAAACCAGTTGGTTTATAGTCTACTCGTAAAGTGTAAGTATACAAATGACTGCCCATATAGCTGGACTGCAACCGAGTGCAGCTCCATTAAGTACAATGTTTGGTAGATTTTTGTTTTAGAGTTGTTTAGTATGCATTAACTCAAAAGGTAGGAGAATATAGCGATAGAGAAAGTGCCTAGAGCTGGGAAGAGTTCATTTCGAAATTAGTTTTTAGGGTAAACATAGAGTTTAGCTTTAGTTTTTAGTTTAGCTTAGTATACCTAATAATACGTAGCCTTCCGTTACGGACACTAAGAACTATATAACGCTATAGTATACATTGAGTTGAAGGGGGATAGACAAGGGACAAGGGAGAAGGGTAGATAGGTAGAAATAGTAGTAGTACTATTTGGGGTTAGGCCTAGTCTAGTTGCAAGTATTTGATTGGGATAGTAGTACAATGGGATTATCTTATTCCATCTCTTAACTGCTGTGATTTGAGCACCAGAAGCTGCACTGTCGCTATATACGTATTTACGTACCATATTTGTTATTAATTAATAATTACATTTACTTTTATATAATAGTATCGCGTGTAGCATTTTATGTATTTACTTGTATAGTTAAAAATTTTGCTTAGTAGATGCTTAAAGTTCTCTTTTTGTTTTCTTGTTAATGATCTTGAATTATAACCTAAACAGTATCCCGTTCATTACGTATATTTAGTTCGCACGGATTCTAGCTCATTTATAATGTCATCGTATATGCGCGTTTCAATTCTCAATTAATTAAATTAACATTAATCTGGTATTAACTTTTTTTTATCTTTTTAAACAATAGAAAAACATATGTTTTACTTTATGTTTTATTCGTATACTTTGCATTTGAACTCAGGTTGATTTTATTATGTTGTTTCATCTTTTTGTTTACGTATATGAGTTGCACTTGGTTCTCCATTCTCATTAAGAACGCATTGAAATAAGACTTATAAAAGAAACGAAACAAAAATGGAAACAAATCTAACTAAATTAAAGATTAGAAACTTGTTTTTCGTTTTTTTTTTTTTTTTTTAATTTTTGTTTTTTCTTTTTTGGCAAGTTTTTTCAGTGTTGTAAAACACCTTGAAAAAGGACGTATTGAAAAATCGTATACACGTTGCTGAAGTAAATAATAGTGAAAAGCCAAACAAAAAAGGAATAAACTTTTCTTTCATTATGAACAATTTTGTTTTGTTTTTCTTTCTTCTTCCTCTTATTCTTTCTGATTTTGTTTTTGTTTTTGTTTTTGACTTGTAAGCAGCCTAGGCTTTCGTACAACTACATGCTTAAGTTCTATTTTAAGTTATAGTTTAGTTTCTTAAGAAGTTTGCTCGTAGTTAGGGTTATGTTTTCTGATTTGACCAAATAACGTAGGGTTTTCCTTTATCCCTTTCTTTTCTCTTTTCTTTTTTTGGGGCTCCCTGCTGTGACACCCACCCAAACACACACACGCGCACACTCTCATACACACGCGCACAGGCGCACACACGCTGAGCGAATTAAAAGTCCGCTTCGTGCTTGATGCGATAACTGGCATAGGTTTCTTCCAGCGGCGCAAAGTCTTGGGTGTGGGGCTGTGTTAGGGTTCCAAAATGGAAATTTGGCACCAGAGTTGTAATATATATATAGAGAAATGGGGGGCTTTAGATATAATTGTAGATCAAGTGTCGATTGATATTGTGTGCATCTGTTGCTGTAACTAAATATGTCTGTCTGTGTGTTGGTTTTGTTTGTGGAGGGGTTCGAAGGCGATATTTACAAGTTTACGAACTCAAAACGATAGCACTTCTATCGAAAGTTATCGACGCAGCCCCGCATAGTCAGGGCCATGCATATTAGGCTAGCTTTTATATCATATTTATATATATATATA